TATTGGAGGTCAGGGCTGCAACACAGGACTTTGGGGGGCGGGGGCCACAATTCAGTCCATAACAGGGGCGTAGAAATCCTAACAGCACTGAGTCCTCAGAACCATGAACATGGTATCTTTCTACGGATTTACATTCTTCTCTCATCCAAGCTTTATAGTATTGACTGTACATATTTTGTGTAGGGCTGAGGGCCCCACAGGGTCATGGGGTGAGTCTTATGCTGTGCTGAGGCGCGGGATCCGAGAAATAAAGAGGACACAGAACTACAAATAAAATGCAGCTGGGCTCGGGGGTCCACGCCACCTATAAGCAGAGTCAGGCAAGGCCCCGAACGTCCAGAAGCGTGAGTATTTACTGTGTATAGGTCAGGGGGCAGGGCAGTGAGTGAAATCATCTTTAAGGATAGTGATAGGGTCGTGAGCAATAAAACATGGGGTCCACCCCCATTAGGTCACCTAGGCCAGGAGGTGGACAGTGCGCAGCAAGGGGCCCGTTCCCATGAAGGCAAGGGCCGTGTGCAGTAAGGGGTCCACCCCCATTAGGTCACCGAGGCTTGAAGGTGGGCGGTGCGAAGTGAAGAGGGTGCAGTGTGCGATACTTCTGTCTATGGAAAACTACTTCTAAGAAGATTTATGGGAGGATGCTTTAAGTCACACAGCAGTGACAGAGCTGTCAAGGTTACCGCCACCTTCTGGCAGCTTCCAGTGGGTTCTATGGGAAGATGCTTTTTAAGCAGCACAGCAGCAAGAGCTGATAGAGTTCACAGTCACCAAGGTGGATTGCCGTTCTGAGGGCAGCCTTCCACAAGAACGGGAGCAAGGTCCTACAACTCCTTTATCAGGAGTGGCTCTCGCCCCAAGCCTGCCATACAGCGGGTATCTTTATGATACTGAATGCTGCCGCCTGGGCCATGGATTCTTGTCCTGGTGTAACTGTTTTCCCTTAAATCATGCTCTTCACTGTGTTTGCTCCAGGCATTCCTCCGATTATAAGCTGCTTATTCCTTAATTCGTGCTCTGTACTGTGTCCACTCTAGGCATTCCTCCGATTACGAACTAAGATATAAGTATATATATAGGGAAATATTCTTCAGGCACTCATATTATCAACTATTATATGATTATATATAGAGGATTATATAAAGGGATTCTTCAAGCCCTATTTCTATAAACTAATATATGATTATGTAAAGGGTTATATAAAAGGAAATAGCTGAGTAGTAACACTATAAAGTGAGCTATTCCTCAGGCCCTAACTGTGCCAGGGTTCTACTTAGCTCTCATTTCTTGGTGCCTATATGGAGGGTTACCCACATTTTGTACATACATTGAACTTTTTTATGATTTTTAATGCTATCATAAAAATATTTTAAAATCAACCTTCCAGTTATTCATTGGTGATATGTGGACATATACTCGATTTTTGTATATTGATTTTGTACATACTGTGACCTTAACTAAACTTGTTCATTAGTTCTAGCAGCCCTTTGGTAAACTCTAAAGAATTTTCTGTGTATGTGATTATATCATCTACAAGTGAAGACAGTTTTGCCTGTTCCTTTCTCATCTTCATGCCTTTCATTTCTTTGTCTCATGGTGCTGGTGGGAGCATCTGGGGCAGTGCTAAGTGTAGGAAGGGTGAGAGTGGACATCCTTGTTTCCAATGTTTTGCAGAAAGCATAATATGTTGTTCATGATTCAGGATATTTGCTGTAAGTTTTCCTGAAGATTCCTTTATCAGGATCAGGAAGTTCCACTCTAGTTTCCTAGGAGTTATGATCATGAATGGACATTGAATTGTGTTCAATTTTTTTTATTCCCACAATAAAATTAGCAAATGATTTTTCTCCTTTCTTATGGAGAATTACACTGATTTTGAATTCCCATTTAGTCATGTTGTATTTTCTTATATATTGCTGGATTTGACTTGCTAGTACTTTGCTAGGGAGTTTTTGCCACTGTTCATTGGGGTTATTGGTCTGTGATTTTTCTTTTACTGTTTTTGTCTAGTTTTAGTATCAGGGTTTTCAAATCTCATGAGATGAATTAGAATGTTTTCTCTCCTTGTGTATTTTTTGAAAAAATGTTAGAATTTCCTTAAAAGAGATGGTCCTACTCTGTCACCTGGTCTGGAGTACAGTGGCTATTCACTGGAGCGATCATAGCTCACACTTGCAGCCTCAAACTCCAGGCCTCAAGTGATCCTCCTGCCCCGGCCTCCCAAGGAGCTGGGACTCCAGGTGCGTGCCACCCTGCCCAGCTAAATGTTTGATGTAATTTAACAGTGAAGCTACGTGGGTTTGGAGTTTTCTATGCAGGAAGATTTCTAATTATGAACTCAATTTCTTTACTAGGTCTAAGACTAATTAGGTCTTTTTTCCTTGTCTGTTTTGATAATTTTTGTCATTAAAGAACTTGTTAACTTAATCTAGGTATATAATTTCTTGACATAAAGTTGTCCATACCTTATTTTTTTTGAAGTTTATAAGCTCCGTAATGATGTCTTTTGCGTGTCTGTGTCTGTGAGAGAGAGAGAGAGAGAGAGAGAGAGAGAGAGAGAGAGAGGGAGGGAGAGACAGACAGACAGACAGGGGTTGCCCAGGGTGGAGTGCAGTGGCGCAGCCTTGGCTCACTGCAGCCTCGACCTCCTGGGCCCAAGTAATCCTCTCACCTCAGCCTCCCAAGTAGCTGAGACTACAGGTGCATGCCACCATGCCTGGCTAATTTTCCATACATTTTGTGGAGATGGGGTTTCGCCATGTTGCCCAGGCTGGTCTTGGCTTCTTGGGCTCAAGTGATCCACCCACCCAGGTGGATCTGAGGCTAAGGTGGGAGGATCATTTTCAAGCCCAGGAGTTCAAGACCTGCCTGAGTAACCGTGAGACCTTGTCTCTACAAAGAATTTTTTTCAAAGACCCAGGCATGGTGGTGCACATATGTAGTCCCAGCTATTCAGGGGGCTGAGGTGGGAGGACGGCTTGAGCCAAGGAGTCTGAGGCTGCAGTGACTGGGCTATGATCACACCATTGCACTCCAGCCAGGCTGACAGAGGGCTGACAGACTGAAACCCTGTCTCAAACATAAAAAAGAAAGAAATTATACTCTGCATGGTTTTAGTCCTTTTAAATTCATGGACACTTGCTCTGTGGCCCAGAACATGAGCTATCTTGGTGAAAGTGGCGTGTACACTTAAAAGGAATGTGGGCCCGGTGTGGTGTCTCATGCCTGTAATCCCAGCACTTTGGGAGAACGAAGTGGGCGGATCACCTGAGATCAGGAGATCGAGACCAGCCTGGCCAACATGGTGAAAACCCGTCTCTACTAAAAAAAATTACAAAAATTAGCCAGGCATGGTGGCAGGCACCTGTAATCCCAGCTACTCGGGAGGCCGAGGCAGGAGAATCACTTGAACCCGGGAGGTGGAGGTTGCAGTGAGCCGAGATTGCGCCTGGGTGACAAAGCAACACGCTGTCTCAAAAAGAAAAAGAAAAAAAAGGAGGCAGAGCCATCAGCTGATAGAGAGGGCAGTTCGGGCAGTTCAGCTGTGCTGTTGAGCCTGAGGGCTGACAAGACACCCTGGGGCAGTGTCATAGAGACTGGACCTGGCAATTCAGGCATCCCTGGAGACCCGGCTGGGCACGGGCTTACTGGAGGAGGAAGGCGGGGCACAGGGTGAAGACAGTTCTAAGAATGTGGCTGCAAAGGAGAGCCAAAAAAAAAAAAAAAAAAAAGCAACAGGTTGGTGAGAGAAGTTGGATAAAGAGGTGGTTTTTAGTGTGGGAGAAGCCGCACCCTTCATGCGAATGAAAATAAATAAAAAGAATCATGCTGTAGGAGACAGGGAAACTGCAGATGGGTGCCCTGGCGGAAGCTCGGGCCGGGGACTGGGTGCACAGGACAAGCGCGCTGGGCGAGGGTCTGGCTGCCCGGGCTGCAGCTTCCTCGGTGGAGCGAGGCCGGGCGGGGACGGGGCGAGGCGGGGCAGCGGCTCGGGGCCGGCTGCCAGCCAGGAGCTGGGACAGAGCGCGGCGCGGGGACTCCCTCTGCTCTTCCTGGTCCAACCGATGGCCGGACCGAGATGTGACTCACGCGCCCCGAAACCCACCCCGCAACGGCACGGCCGACAGGGCCGGGCGCGCCTCCGCTCCCACCCAGCGCACGCCCATCGCCCCCGCCGCCGGCCCCGCCCCGCGTGGGGTCCACACCGCGGCCTCCGGAGCCACGGTCCCCCGGGCCCGGTCTCCAGGTCCGCCCGCCGCAGCGGGCCTCGCACTCCCCTCCGTTCCCGGCTGCAGGACGGACGGCGCCGCTGCCCTCTGGAGCCCCTGCTGTGTGTCTGGCGCCGAGCTGGGCCCCCGAGGCCCCCGAGCCCGCCCAGGGGGTCCCTTCCCCGGGCCGGAGCAGGAGGCACCGCGGGGTCCAGCGCGCCCTGCGCGGGGCGAGCTCGGGGACGAGCGCCCGCAGCCTCCCGCCTGGGCAGCCCTCACCCGCCGTCCGCAGCGGAAGGGACCGGGCCGCCAGCCTCCGGGCGGGCATGGCCTTGAGGCCCAGACCGGAACTTCCCTTCGGCCTCAGTTTCCCCGCCGGCCCCGCCCCCAGCGCCCGCACACGCGGCCCCTTTAAGGACTTGCTGCGCCCTCCCGCCTCTTTTTTCTCGCGCGTCTCCCCTCCCAGGCTGCCCCGCCCTCGCCGGGAGCGCGCCTACGTCACCGCGCAAACCGCGGCCGTGTCTTCGCGCCTGCGCCACCTGGGTCGGGGTGAGCCATTGGCTGCCGTGCTCAGGACCCATGGTAGGGGGCGGGGCCTTTGCCGGAAAGGGTGGGGCGACGGCGAGAACGGCCGTGTCTAGCCGTAGGTGCTGTCGTCGCCGTGGTGACCTCCGCTCCGGCCCAGGGCCAGCCAATGGCTGTAGAGCTCTTGGGCACCTGACGGGATGGGCGGCCCCCGCCGGAAGGGGCGGGGCGAGGCGAGCGGTCGCGTCAGTCGTAGGTGCGGCAGTGACTACGCCGCCGGGCGGGGGTCGCGCCGGCCTAGCACCTGGGGCTCTGCGGGGGCCGGGCAGAGACCTGCGGTCCCGGCGTGTCCGTATTTCCGGTGTCCCCGAGAGCTTCGGCGACGGGGCCGCAGGGCGGGCCCTGGGCCGCATGACAGGCGGCAGCCCCGCAGCACCGCCGAAGCCGGCGCGCCCGCCCGGTGCAGCCGTACTGCCGGGGAGACCCCGCGGCCCCAGTCTCGCGCGGCCCCGCTGGGCCCCTCCTCTCCCCGGGTGGGGCGCAGCTCCGCAGCCTCCGCCCGCGGCCTCGCCTGGCGCGTCCTTCCGGGTCCTCCGGCCTTTCCGTGCCGGTGCTGCAGGCCCTGGTCCCTTCCCACCCTGCACGCCGCTGTGCTCCGGCCTGGGCCTCCGGGCCGGCCGCCTCCGGCGCGACTTCCATTGGCCTGAGTTTCCGGGCAGCTCTTGGCCTGTGCAGCCTTGCTGGAGGCCGCCCTGCGGCATCGGAGTGGACGAGGGAAACAGCAGCAGTCACGTAGGGGAAAAGCTGTTGAGGACGGTGCCGTGCGTTCCCGTAGCGCACGCGCCCGGTGCAGTGCGGCGTCCCACGCGCGTGCCATGTAGAGGTTCCAAGTCGAAGGTTCACTTTTAAAACTGTAGCCGCCGGAAAGGCCTTGCCGGACTCCCGCTGGCCGTCACCTTGAGTGGTCATATTTCCCAGAGAGGCACCCACCAAGGTAAAGACAGGCGGGCCCCAGCCTCAGGGTCCTCCCGGAACTTCGGTTTATAGTGGAGCCCAGTAAACACGTTAGTAACACCAAGAGCTGTAAAATACAGATGATGACTTAGCGTCTTTGCCTTACTTATTTCTAGATATGGATCAGAAACTTTCAAACTTGGTAGAAGAGCTCACAACTTCAGGAGAACCCCGACTAAATCCTGAGAAAATGAAGGAACTGAAGAAAATTTGCAAGTATGTGTTAGAATTCAGTAATTCACAGTAACTGACTGGCCCACTGAGCCCAGTACACATAGGGCCCCCTGCCTGCCCCACCTGGGCGAGAACCACCCGAGGGACACACCCAGGACATTTTCTCAGGGCCCTGCAGTGCCCAGCTCTGACGGGCGGCCATCGTCCTAGGGTCAGGGCGTGTGGCGTTGGGAACACATCAGCGCTCTGCTGTTGCTTCTCTTCATTCCCGTGTGCAGGGCGTAGAGAACATGATATAGGAGTTCTTGAGTGCACATACGTGATTTAGAAAGAAACGTTACTTTTTTTTCTTTGCTGTTGGACTTTGCAAAGGGAGAGACTAGAGCTCGCTGCTGGGCGAGTTGCTCTATCTGCATTTACACTGTGTCTGCCCACATCTCCCTCCAAGGAAAACGCTGGCCAGGATCTCTGCCGGTCACTCTGAGGCAACCAGAGATTCACAGGGGAAGCAAAACTTCCCCTCGGAGGCCAGAGCATAAGTTGAGGACACTGATTATCTTGTCTCCTGCGTTTGTAAAACGGGAACTTAGAGATTGTTTATAGTGATGGAGTGTTCATATTTTGATAGAACTTCAGGTCAGGTTTTGTAGCATGCCCCAGGAAATCCAAATCACAGTGGTTTATGTGGGGCCAGGATCTGGGAAGAGGAGCAGTCAGGAGGCGCTGGAGACATCTGCAGCACTAGGCTTTCCTTCCCTTCCTTGCTGCAGCAGGAGGCACCCAGCTGAGCAGTGCGTGTTTGTGCCGGGTGGTGTTCGTTCGTGCCAGGAGGTGTGTGTTTGTGCCTGGCGCTGTGTGTTCCTGCTGGGTGGTTTGCATTTCAGGCTTTGCTGTGAGGCCTCAGCTCTGTGAATGCAGCTGCAGTTGATGCAGGCAGATAGATGGGCCGCCTTCCAATGAAACTTTGTGAATGGGCTCTGCGTTTGAAGTCTGCAGCGTTTTCACGTCTCATCAAGTATTTCTTGCTTGTTCCAACATTCTTGGCTTGCGGCCCACACAGAAACAGGCCAGGCTGGGGAGCTAGAGGTGGGCCTTGGGCAGTAGTTTGCAGACCTGCTCTAGAAAAGGGGAGAAGAAAGATGGGAAGGCAGTGATGTTCCCTGTCACACGTGTGCGGCATCCCTGCATGGAGAGCCTTCCTCGCCCGTCCTCCCTATGCCGGCGGTTGGGTCAGGCCGGCTCACATCCCCAGGTCTTCAGAGGAGCAGCTGAACCGCACCTACCGCCTGCTGATAGCACAGCTGACCCAGGAGCACGCCGAGATCCGCCTTTCAGCCTTTCAGATTGTGGATGAGCTCTTCACCAGGTCTCACCAGTTCCGGGTGCTGCTTGTTTCCAACTTCCAGGAGTTCCTGGAGCTCACGCTGGGCACGGACCCTGCACAGCCTCTGCCGCCCCCCCGGGAGGCGGCGCAGAGGCTGAGGCAGGCAGCAACCCGGGCCGTGGAAGGGTGGAATGAGAAGTTCGGGGAGGCCTACAAGAAGCTTGCCTTGGGCTACCACTTCTTAAGACACAACAAAAAGGTAGGTGGATCTGGCCATTTTCTTAGAGACTCTGGTTACCCAATGGGAGGAGGGCAGACCGGACAGAGGAGAAGATGTGCTTCCTGTCGGGCCTGGCGTGGCAGGGGCTTGCTTGGCCTTGCGTAGGCACCCAGGGTGCTGGACCATCCATGGGGTGTGGGAGAGTGGAAGCAGCTGGGGTCAGGGCCTCCCTGAGAAGGGTGGCACAGCTCTGAGACGAAGAGCAGAGGCTTTATGTGTGGATGGCGCTGAGCCTGCATTTGTTATTTTTTATGCGTGTGTAGGAGACAAAAGCCAAATTCAGTTTTTCAGATGCAGCGTTTGCTGTGACAGTGGCCTCTGGCCTCGGGACCTTTCCCAACCTTGCACGTAAAGGGTCCACCCAGAACCCCTGTGGGCGCTGCCTGGTGCCTGGCATGATGAAACTGACCAGGTTCTGCCGCTGTGGCCTGAACGCAGCCTGAACGTTGCCCAGACCCTGCCGTGTCCCCTGCCTCACCTGCCACAAAGCCTCATGTCCCCTCAGGGCGATGGCCCAGCCCCGCCAGCGTCCCTGTGTGCCCATGGAGTGCCCAGTCTCCCGGGTTCATGTTTGGCTTGTTTCAGGCCCCTGTGTCCAGTCAGTGGCTCTTGCCTGCTAATGTAACGGGCACGCTGCTCTCCACCTACGTGGCACTTGGGGTGAGAAGTCTCATTGCCTCTTTTAGTGTAGCAGATGTGCTGGCTTGCCCAGGCCCAGGCGGCAGAGCGGTGCGCATTTTACTTAGCTGTAATGCGCTGTGAATGGCTGGTGTGAGGTGCACACCTATAGACCTAGTGACTGCAGGCTGAGGCTGGTGGATCACCTGGTCCTGCCTCAGCAACACGGCGAGACCGCTGTCTCTTTAAAAAAAAAAAAAACTCACTGTGAACTTAAAACACCCTGTCGGCTGCTGGCCACACGTGAATGCTGGGTCTTCTGTTAGGCCTGCTTGAGTTTTCTTTTCCTCACATTGTTTATAGATAGCCCCAGTCCTTTTTTTTTTTTCCCCCCGAGATGGAGTCTTGCTTTGTCACCCAGGCTGGAATGCTGTGGTGCGATCTTGGCTCACTGCAACCTCTGCCTCCCAGGTTGAAGCTGTTCTCCTGTCTCAGTCTCCTGAGTAGCTGGGATTACAGACATGCACCACCACGTCTGGCTAATTTTTGTATTTTTAGTAGAGATGGAGTTTCACCATGTTGCTCAGGCTGGTCCCGAGCTCTTGACCTCGTGATCCTCCTGCCTCAGCCTCCAAAAATGCTGGGGATTACAGGCGTGAGCCACCGCACCTGGCCGGCCCTAGTCTTTAATTTCAATTGCTCAGGTGGATTTTCAAGATGCAAGTGCTCGAACTCTGGCCGAAAGAAAGAGAGAAGAGGAGAAGCAGAAGCACTTGGATAAAATTTACCAGGAAAGAGCCAGCCAGGCGGAGAGAGAGATGCGAGGCAAGTGCCCAGGACGGAGGGAGGGGTCCGTGTCCCTGGGGGCTGCCTACGGTCCAGCTGTTCGTCCTCCTGGACCCAGGGCCCCGGCTGCAGGGGACCCCGGTGTTCAGACAGGCGCAGTGGATATGGTACAGTTCAGACCGGGGAGCATTCTCAGCCATAGACCCTGCTGTGTCCCCAGGACCCTGCAGGGACCTCCCAGGCCGGCCATGCCTCTCCCGCGCCCTCTGGTGGTCGCAATCACCCACGTCCATTCACTGCGCAGACCCTCGGGCAGAGATGGGCATGTGGGCAGTGGTCTGAGCCCTGGCCTGGCTGAAGGCCGTCCTGCTCATTTATCTCATGGCTGCCTTGCCCTTGCCAGCTCCTTCCCCAAAATCTCACCATTTACTTCATGATAGTCAGCCTTTCTTGTGAGGGGCACCACCGGAGTGTGAGGAATGTGGGGCAGGCCCACATGCCACGGCCTTCCTGAGGCGGCTCCTGATGTGGGTGGAGACACAGCCCTGTGTCTTCAGACTGCAGGGCTGGGGGCTCTCCCTGTGCCTCAGATCCTCCCACCGACAGACCGTGGTCCCCCGCATGGGCCCTGCCACAGGCCACTTCTGGGAAACGCAGGCCTCAGGGGCCCATAAGGCAGGCAGGCAGGCAGCTGGGTGCCCGGATGACGAGGAGGCCACCAGGAGGAAAGCTGCCCTGGCCTAGGAGGTGTGGCACAAACAAGGGCATTTTGTTGCTCTGGAAAGGAGCTGCAGCCTGGTCCTGGAAAGTGCAGGGGGGCTGACGACCCCCGAGCACTTGTGCGCACTACCCAGAGGCGCGTAGAGATTGTCTTGCAGGCCCAGCGGCTGAGCTGGTGCTTTCAAAAGCAGTTACAAAGCTCACTACACGGCCAGGCGCAGCGACTCACCTGTCATCCCAGCACTTCGGGAGGCCAGGGTGGTTGGATCGCTTGAATCCCGGCGTTTGAAGCCAGCCTGGGCAACCCCGTCTCTACAGAAAAATTAGCTGAACATAGTAGCACATGCTTGTGCTCCCAGCTAATCAGGAGGCTGAGGCAGGAGGACCACCTGAGCCTGGGAGTTCCAGGCTGTGGCGAGCTCTGATTGTGCCACCGCATTCCAGTGCAGGCAACAGTGCCACCCTATTTCAAAAAACAAAGAAAAACGTGTGGTACACACACCAGAGGCCTGGCTTTTCTTGGGAAGAAAGAAGGCCCCAGGGGATGCAGGCTGGGTGCAGGACCCTGACCCACCTGGTGCTGAAAAGTGATGCCCTTCGGGGAGTGAGCCTCTGGGTGTGGTTTTGCGGGGCTAGTGTTTTTGCTGCATATGGCGCAGGAGACAGGTGTCCTGATCTTTTGGCAGAAATGTCTGGAGAAATGGAATCCTGCTTGACAGAGGTGCAGAGCTGCTTTAGGCTCCTGGTACCGTTTGGCTTTGACTTTGGCCCGAGCCTGGAGACAGAATCCTTTGGCATGGCTCCTGATGCGTCCGATGCCCCCCGCTCCTCCTGCGCCAGCCAGGTGGGCCCTTGCCGGTCTGGCCCCCCTGACCCCCGGGACGGGGAGCAGCCCTGCTGCAGTAGGGACCTGCCTGCCTCTGCAGGCCAACCCGGAGCAGGCGGCGGGGCACTGCCGCCCCAGGCAGCTGTGGGAGACCCCTCAGATGAGGACGAGGACAGCGACCTCGAGGAGTTTGTGCGGAGCCACGGGCTGGGCTCACACAAGTACACGCTGGATGTGGAGCTCTGCTCAGGTAACGGCCTGCCCGGCTCCTGGCTTAGTCCCTCCGTCACTGGCACCCAGCCCAGCAGCTCTGGACTGCAGGGGAGTCCCCTGGGGACCGGGTCAGGGGTCACCACTAGGATTTTCCTTTCTGTGTGGCCTCCGCATTGGGCTCCCCCCACCCATGCCAGGCCTCTGTGGCCACAGGGACACTTCTAAGAATTCATGGCAGCCCCCTGCCTTGGCAAGGCTGTGGGCAGATCGGGGACTCACAGGTTTATGGTGGTCCTCGAAGGATGGCAGAGCACAGGTCTGACCTCCAAGTGACCAGGAGCCTTGGGCAGGCTTTGTGGGTATCCTGCCAACTCACAGGCCTGTTAGGGTCCTATGTCACCATGAGGGGTCAGGTAGTGCCTGCCTTTGCCTGGAGGAAAATGTGATCCTGAAATGGCCTCATGCAGCCTTGGTGCTCTAGCCTGGGTGGGTTAGGGTTGTAGAGACACGGCTGCCACACTCCTTGGCGCCAGCTTCCTCTCAGGCCCCGGGCTCCCCTCCTGGGGTGGGCAGAGGCTGAGGCCCTTTGAGTATGTGTGTGGCTGCAAATCGCTCTCTTTGAAGAACCTTCTTTGGAAGCAGGCACATTGGGCGTCCCTTCACCAGGCCCGGAGGCAGCCAGGCCGGCAAGCTGCTGGGAGAACTCATCTTCCAGGCTCAGCTGCCCAGAAGTGTCTCAGGAGTGAGGCCGCAGGCAGCCTGCAGGCCTGTGTGGGGTGGACACCGCTGCTGCCAGTCCCCGGGCACCCTTGCCTACACAGAGCTCGGCCCTGTACCGGACACTGAGGGTGCCACAGTGGGAGAAGCCACAGCAGGGCAGTCAGAGCTGGGGTGCCTGACAGAAGAGAGGCCAGGCTGGGGGGGTGCTGGTGACGCTGGGATGGACACCATCCTGTGAGGTGGGCTGCAGAGGGGAAGGTTCTGTGCCCAGTGTGTGAGTGAGCTCGCCCCTCTGGAGGGATGGCTGCAGTGGAGGAGGTTGAGACACAGGCGGTGGAGCTGGAGTGAGGGGGGGCTTTGGTGTTAAGCCACATGTTCTTTCCTAATATCATAAAACATTGGCTTCTCACAGCATCAGATTTGGGATCCCCGGAAACAGGGAGGGCATGTGGCAGGTTCCCCGCAGGCTCGAGCAGCCTTTGCCGCGTGCTCTGTCCGTCTCGCTGGGGTCTGTGGGAGACACCCGCTGGCGCCCTCAGGTGGCCTCTGTGTGCTTCTCCCCAGAGGGCCTGAAGGTGCAGGAGAACGAGGACAACCTCGCTGTGGTCCATGCCGCCCGTGACACACTCAAGCTCATCCGGAATAAGTTCCTGCCGGCCGTTTGCTCCTGGATCCAGGTGAGCCTTGAACTTGGGACCTGTGGGTTGATAGACATGTGCAGTATTGGGCTTGAGGGGTCTCTTTCGTGGGGGTCTGTAGCCAGGGGGGATGGAGACTGAAGGGCCCCTGACCCGTGAGGGCTCTGTCCCTTACTCGCAGCTTCGTCCTCTGCATCCCGAGTATGTCAGGGACTTCCCCAGGCCAGTGGACCTGGCACTTGCTTCCCAGCGGGATGGCTTCGTAGGGTCTGCCAACTGGCCTCTGAGCCCTCCGCCCCCTTGTTTCATACAGCGCTTCGCTCGCGTGGGGACCCACGGTGGATGTTTAAAACGTGCCATTAACCTGAAGGCAGAACTGGAGCTTGCCCTGAGGAAATACAAGGAGCTGGACATCGAACCCGAGGGAGGGCGGGGCTGCAGGGTGAGTGGGCAGGCAGTGGGTGGGGAGGGGTCCCAGGTGCCTCAGTGCGGGAGGAGAAGCTGTGGGGACCATGTCCTGGGCCTGTGGGCCTGGCAGAGCCCAACCACACACCAAGCCCACTCGGCCTTAGCAACACCTGCTTTCCTGGCAAGGGCTTCCTGTAAGCCCAGCGTCATTGTTGTGGTGGCAGAGGGTACGGTGCAGCTGTCAGTGCTGTCTGGCCGCCATGCGTGGTAGCTGAACAGAGGTGCTGAGCACCGCGCATAGAGGAGGCTATAGGAAGCCACCAGTCAGGCCATCTCCTACAATCTAGTCCCCCCACAGCTCCTAGGGAGTCGCCAGCCATGTGACGCCTGTCCTGGTGGGCACTGTATCCACTAGAGGAGAGACCCCTGGCAAGCTCTCGGATGGCCAGGAGGGTCAGTGTGGGCACCAGTGCCCACCTGGAGTACTCGGGCCACTGTTTGCTGGGCCCTGTAAGAGGCTTGGAAGGGTCATGGGGGGCACTGCAGTTTGCTGAGCAGGGAGCATGGGGCTAGAAGGGGGCAGGAACACCAGGAGGGGCAGGAGGCTGGAGGGAGGTATGGGGCGCCTCCGGCAGAGTGACATGGGGAACTGAGACTGCTGCACTGGGCGTGTCTGAGCCGGTCAAGGGTGGGGTGCCCTGCACACTGCTGTGCCAGGGCCTTGAGGAGCTGCCTGAGTGTGGAGTGGCCTGGAGGGGTGTGAGAGCCGGGGTCCTCTGCAGCGTCCTCAGCGGAGCCCAGCGCAGTCGGGTCTTGGGACTGGAGGCACACAGCAGCCACCCTGGGCTCGCACAGCAGCAGTGCTCTCCCTCAGGGAACCCAAGCCCTGAACCCTGACACCCCGGAGCCCAGACCCTGATCCCAGCCCTGGTCTGGGAGATGGTGGCCTTTCAGCTCTCCTCACTTTTAGGAAAGCTTTGGAGTGGAAGTGAACGCTGTGCTTTTTACTGGGAAGAGGTCGGATTCCATGGCGGCAGACATGCGGGGGCCGTGGGAGTTGTGGGGCAGTGGGGAAGCTCCTGTCCGTGAATTTCCCAGCCTGTCGTTTTCCCCAGGTCAGTGGCCCTGCATCCTGGATGTGGTGGGCGTGTGCAGCCCCCGGGGGCCAGCAGAGGGCGAGCTTGCTTTTCTTCTTTAAGCCCTGAAATTCTGACTCCGGGAGAATTTATAGTCATGTGGGAGCCCCGTGCCTGGCAGAGTCGCTGGTCCCTCAGAGGCCGGGCTGCTCATGTGGCCGCGTTTGTGGGTGCTGTTCAACACCTCTCTCCATGCGGAAGTACTTTTGGGAGTTTTGATGAAAAGATACTTTCTACAATGAGAAGGGTTGCTTTTCTAGGTTTGGGAGGAAGATGGTAAGTGCCATCAGCACATAGGGATCAGGGTGAGCCCACTGCCCATGCCCATCACGCTCAGGCCACAGGGTTGCAGCCACAGGACCAGGCCCTGCCCCGGCCCCTGTCACCATTCCCGAGTGGGCCTTGTGGTGGCCGCCCACTGGGGTCACGGGGCACTTCCTGAGGCTCACACTGAGCTCCTCTCAAGGTCACTGCCCCATCTCCACTGCATGGGAAAGGCTTGCTTGAGCCTCACACCGAGACCCTGAGCCAGGCACTGCCCCCGTGCCACTGCTGCCACCCTGGACTCGCCTGGCCTGGCTCCTGCAGTCTGTGGATAGTTTTGTCTGAAGGTGGCTAGTGGGCAGCTGGCTCATTGGGTCCACAGAGCAAAGTGGGGGCCGATGGGTTGCGTGGTCTGGGCCCCTCCAGCTGGCGCAGTCCTTTTAGTACCAGCAGCGGGGCTGGGGCAGCCAGGTGGCTCTGTTTGGCCTGAGGCTCTGGCATCAGAACCTTCTGGAATGCTTGGTGCTGCCCCGTCTGCATCCCACAGCTCCACAGCATCTGGGACGGCTCCTGAGCGGGGCTGGCTGGTAGAAGTGAGTCCAGGGCTGCTGCAGCTCGGCCTGCTTGTGTGGGGATGAGGAACTGCCACTTCCCGGGTCAGGACTCTTTAATGCCACTGTGGACCAGAGACACCTGCAGACTCCTGGCTGTGGCTGACTGGCACCCACAGTTCCACCTCACCCTGGTGGATATAGACTCCTGTGTGCCAGGGAGACCAGGCGCCCTTCCGTGAGTGTCTGGCTCAGCCTGGCCCCCGGCCTGTGTGAGCTCAGGAGCGCTGGCTTCCCAGACCACTGCAGTGCCAGCCTCTCCTGCCACAGGGCTGCTCAGGGGTGCTGTGTTAAGGGCCTGGTCAGTGGTGGCCAGGGCCTGCAAGACAGGTGTGGGCCGTGCAGGGGGGTGCTAGGCAGGGCACAGCCCCCTGAGGGACCCCACCTGCTGCTGCTCCCACCCACCAGGTCCTGGAGACCCCACTGATGCCGTCAGCTATCTCTGAGCTTCTCAGTGACTGACATGAACGTCTCCCACCCCACATGGTTGAGCCGTTAGCACTGCCCTCCGTGGCCCGTGATCCCAGCCCTCAGCACACAGGCAGCCACCCTGACCCAGCGCCCAGGGCCTGCCACTATCTCCCTGTCCTTCCTCACTCCTGCTGGTCAGGGGCCTGCTCCTGACTCATCTGTGTGCGTCCTCTCGAGATCTGAGCGGTGGCACTCGGCGGGGGGCATCTTCGGTCAGGACTGACGCACTCGGAGGGCAGCTCTGGGTGCTGGTGCAGGGCCCTTCTCCTCCTTCGGCCACATGGTCTGGCCAGCAGACGTGCCCCGGCCATGCTTCAGGGCTGGTGAATGTGCGAGGGCATCTGGCCCTGTGAGGCTGGGTTGAGGATGTCACAGCTCTGGGGGGAAGTGAGGCGCCACACTGCTCCTTTGTCAGTTGAATGGACACTTTCCAGACCCTTCTCTGCAAAGTGTTTTTTTTAAAGCGCTGCTCTGAAGCCCTTGGAGATTTTGCTCGCGGCAGCTGGAGCGCGAGGAGCTGCCTGGAGATGAAGTGATTGGCGAGCTCGCCTGGCTCAGGTGAGCGATGCTTCCCGGAATAGACGCGGCGCTGCTGCAGTATCTGCCCATCTTTCCCGGCTCCTCTCAGGCCACGGCCGTCCGAGTGGCGTGTGTGTGGCAGGTGGGGCTGGCTGTCGGACGTGGTTGTTAATTAGAGCTGTTTTAATTAGAAATTATGAATGAGGTGCTCCTAGTTAATTTTGAATAAAATTTACAGAGGGTTTAAATCACTTCCCTCAGTGTCTCCCCATTTAGCACAGGATTGGCGTCGTTAACTCCGTGTGTAGAACAGGCCACGCTAATTCAATCATGCCTGATTTAAATATTTTTAGAACTTTCAGCAAACGTGCAGGAGACGGGAACACGGAACGCTGCTAGCTGCGGGCAGGAGGCAGGAGCCCAGACTAGGGAGGCCCAGCCTGTCCTGTGGCGGCTCCGGCCGGTGCTCGTGCTGAGGTTCTCCTCTTGCAGTCACTGGGAGCAGACGCTGTGTCTTTCCTTTTTAGCGTTTCCCACTTGGTTTCTAGGTAACGCTGTTTTCCTTTCGGCACAGATGTTCTGTCTTCAGAAAATACTTAGGCTGATTTCGATATGTGTAGCTGTGCGTTCGGAGTGCCTCTGTGTGGCTTCCCTCGGGGAGCAGGCTGGGGGTGAATTTCCCTGGATGGATGTGCAGCGCCATTTGGTAGATTTAGTGTCCAGTCTTGCCGCGCTGTAGGGCAGGTGTGCTAATCCATGCTGCGTCATTCACTGAGCTAATTGAAATCCTCCGGAAACTTTCACGTGCCTACTGCCAAGTTATATAGCTCAGATCACCAATTACTTTGTATTTTGTAATTAACAAAATATTAATTTCCTACCAGCCAGTGAGTTGGAAAAGCGTCTTAAGCATCAGTCTCTTCGGTACCGTCAGCATGGTTTTCTCCTTCCTTTTTCTGGTTATTGGGTTGTTTGTTTATGTGGCTGAGACATCTGTGTGGGTGTTTGTTTTTGTTCTCGCTGATGTTGAGCCTGATGTGGCAGCCACGTGGTTTCAGCTGTGGACGCGTCCTCCATTGCTCACATAACCCAAGTCGTCCCAACTCTGTGGTTTTCTTTCTCTGTTGGCCACCTGCCTGCCTCCTCCAGCGGGCTCACTACCAAAGCTCTGATCTTTGGAGTTGGATGCCAGAAGCATTCTCCTGCTGTCTGATGTTCAGCGGGCTGGGATGGAGCCGATAGGCCCTTGGGGACCCTGTCAGCCCCTGGAATCGAGGCCCCACCTCTTTTCCCTGCTGTGCATGAGGGAAAGTTCTCTGTGATGCTCTGGAGCCACGGGAGTCTGACTTCCTGGAGGTGAAAAGGACAGAAACTGAAAACCCGGGAATGAAATGTGGACCTACCAGGCACAGGCAGGGGAGGAGGGACCTAAATCAGCGCCGTCGGAAAGCCTTGCGCCGCAGTAGGGACGGTAAACAACCTTCCTGGGTGATGGGCTCCTCCATCACGCCGAAGGCCACACCGCTGCGTCCCCGAGGGCTGCCCGCTGGCGGGGAGCAGACATACCGGTTCTCTGGAGTTAGCGCGGGGAGCACTGGGAGAACATCTCAGGCCCAGCCAGGGCCTTGTGCCAGCCCGTCCTCCCACGCTGGTGGCAAAGGCCCCATCTCGGGCTTTTACCGTCTCCCAGTACCTGTCTGCAAACAGAGGGCACTTCCCAGACAAGCCTGGCGCTCCCTGAAATACCTCCCACGCCATGATCCCTTTCGTTTGGAAACAACCCTGATTTTCCACCTCATTTCACAGAGAAGCTGAGCCTGGTCCCGGTCTCCTTGTCGAGGCCTGGCCGCCTGATGAGCATGGATGTGCCTGACGGCTGCCTGATGAACAGGCTAGCCCACTTCCTGGAGGCTGGCCTTCTGGCCCCTGTGGGCCCTGGGTGCCCTCCCCCTCTCTGAAAAGGTCGGTGGGCAGGGGTCCCTTCCCACACCTGTGAGGCAAGTGTGTGTGAATCACAGGAGCCCTGGAGCCAG